CCATATAATCTCTGCCCTGTGTTAGGTTGCATCTGCTGAACTAAATCACAGAAGGTTTAAATTCGATGTAAAATGACATTTGTAAAGTAATTTACTTAAAGGGGTCATATGATGCGATTTCAATTTTTCCTTTCTCTTTGGAGTGTTACAAGCTCTTGGTGCATAAAGAAGATCTGTAAAGTTGCAAAGACTAAAGTCTCAAATCCAAAGAGATATTCTTTATAAAAGTTAAGAGTCAGCCACACCTACCTAAAACGGCTCGTTCTAACACACCCCACATGTCTACGTCACGATGTGAGAAGATTTGCATAACGCCGCCCAAATGTTCACGCAAAGAAAGAAGGCGTAACTTTTATTCTCGCTGTAGTATTGTTGTTGCCGCCGCCATGTCGTGAAGGCGCTGTGTGTTTCGTTGTGAAAGCAAAACTACTTTGTTTGGCCTTCCAAAAGAGGACGATATCTGTATCGAAGCGGAGTCCAGCCCGGGGGCGTCACATGTGATTGCCGCTAGACTCCTTCGTCGAATCCGCCGGCCGCGCCGTTCTCAAGCCCGCCGCCTCTGCTCACTCTAGCATGCAAAACAGGGTGTCCAAAACATTTCATAAAATAGATATAGAAAAAAAAACATTTCAGAGGCAAAGCAAGTATATATTCTTAATTAAATATAAATTAAAATTAAAATAGTTACGAAATGTAATTAGTTGTTAAAATACTTAAATCAAATTAAATTATTAGAGCAAAGAATATTGTATTAAATTGATGTATAAATTGCATTAAACATTTTAATTTTTCAACTTTTTAAAAAATAATATGCCCTAATTAATCATGCACAATGATACCTAGAATGTTCATTAACAAATATAGTACATTGTGATTTCATGTTAAATTTAAATAGAAGCAGAGCAATTAAACAAACAAATAAATAATACATACATACATAAACAAAGAAACAAACAAAACAAACAGTGAGAGAGAACTCTCTAATTCCACAATTTTTAATTGTTAACAAAGTGCCTGAATGTGTCAAACCACATTTTGCTTTTAAAACGCTTGTACCTTGTCTCTGTAATTACAGATGACAAACAAACAAATACATAAATACATAAATAAGAGTGAGTGTTCTGACTCCACAATTGTTAACAAAGTGGTGTGTTTGATGAAGTTTTTTTTTTCTTTTTTTTTTCTAAAGCGTACCTTGCAGCTTGTCTCAGTAATTACGAATGCCGATCATGAAATCTTTAATGGGAGGAACCGTCATCAAGGCTTTTAAGGCTTTAGAAAGATTGCCTATAGCCTTGGTTCATTTTGAGAAATGTTTTACCAGGGGAAAATGCACAAGCATCTAGCTGTAGGTTCAAGCACAACAGATTCCATATCAATTACACAATACCTCACACATCAGCTGAGAGCTGAAGTACACTCCTCACACTTGAGTGCTCCTGCTCTATGAGCTGCGAATGCTTTCACATCATCACATTATGCCTAAAACCACCTCCTTGCTGGTGTTTAATAATTAATGCTACTTGCCAAGTTTCTCATCTGTACAAATAATTTGAAAGCAAAAATTTCACTTAAGCCATCAAACTGCATTGTAAAATTTCTTAATATGATTCCATGGGAGTCTTCGCTTAAATCTATTCTATTCTATTCTATTCTATTCTATTCTATTCTCATAAAATGAAATAAAATCTATTCAAATGACATCACTCTGAATATATTTTTCAAATACTAAGGTACACATCAAAGCTCATATTTCTTTCTTAAAGCACATGCATTTTCTAAACGCACATCTATGTTGTGAAAAGAAGTGTGTGTCACTCACCAGCTGCAGTCTCCTCAGTGTCCCGGTCTAAAGGAGGTGGCTGCCTGCTTCTGCTCAGGTGTTATCTAGTGCTGTGTAAGTGTGTGTGAAGGACTTTTACAGGCCAAAGGTTGATCTAAAAGGTGAGTTATTTAACCATGTCCCGTGGCTGGAGGTTTATTCTCTGTTGCAACGAGTGACCATATTCTACCCTAAAGAAATGTATACAAAAATATCATTTTTTTTTTAAATAAGACATCTTCATTTTTAAATCTGAAGTCTGCAAGGATATTTCTTATTCACTCTATTTACTTGGTTTACTGTGTAAGTGTGTGTTCATTTTAAGCACTGCAATATGCCACTTGTGACAGATGGATGGCTCTAGATTTTAATGTAATCTAGTCCACAATATCAAAATCCAAGCAAAGCAACCAGACCACACAACACATTAAAAGCATTAAAACCTCCTCAATTTTTGTCTGTGAGAGATTTTTAATTTAATTAATTTTTTATTTAAATTTTTTATTTAAAAATAAATTACCATACATAAAATAAAAAATACATAATTAAAAAAAAAACAATAAGTTTCTTATGCTCACTAAAGCTGCAGTTATTTGATCAAAATACAGTAAAAACAGCAATATTGTGAAATATTATTACAATTTAAAATAATTGTTTTCATGTTTCAAATATTTAATGTAATTGATTCCTGTGATGGCAAATCTGAATTTTCAGCAACATTACTCCAGTCTTCAGTGTTACATGAGCCTTTGGAAATCATTCTAATATACTGATTTGGTGCTCAAGAAACATTTATTATTATTATTATTATTATTATTATTATTATTATTATCATCAATGTTGACATTTTTGATGCGTTTATTGTGGTAACCATGATGCACTACTATTCAAAAGTTGACAAAAAGCAAGGAATTAACACTTTTATTCAACATCTATCAAAAGTGACAGTAAAAAAGTCAAAGTATTTCTATTTCAAATAAATGCTGTTCTTTTGAGCTTCATTACATAATCCAATTCAGGCGACAACTGTTTTCAACATTTATAATAATAAGAACCAACTGAGCATCAATATAATATAACTGATAATAAGTGAGCAGAAAATCAGCATATTAGAATGATTTCTGAAGGATAATGTGACACTAAAGACTGGAGTAAATGATAATGAAAATGCAGCTTTGCCTCACAGGAATAAATCACAATAATTATTGAAAAACTGAAAACAATTATTTTAAGTTGTAAAAATATTTCACAATATTACTGTTTTTTTCTGTAATTTAAATCAAATAAATAAATGCAGGCTTAGTGAGCATAAGTCACTTCATTCAAAAACAAATCTATCTATCTATCTATATAAATGAATATATATATACAGGTATATATATATATATATATATATATATAGTGTGTGTGTGTGTGTGTGTGTGTGTGTGTGTGTGTGTGTGTGTGTGACCCTGGACCACAAAACCAGTCATAAGGGTCAATTTTTTTAAATTGAGATTTATACATCATCTGAAAGCTCTCCATTGATGTATGGTTTGTTAGGATAGGACAATAGTTGGCTGAGATACAACAATTTGAAAATCTGGAATCTGAGGGTGCAAAATAATCAAAATATTGAGAAAATCACCTCTAAAGGTGTCCAAATGAAGTCCTTAGCAATGCATATTACTAATGATAATACATTTTTTATATATTTACAGTAGGACATTTACAAAAATTCTTCATGGAACATGATCTTTACTTAATATCCTAATGATTTTTTGCATAATAGAAAAATCAATATTTTTGACCCCTACAATGTATTTTTGGCTATTGCTACAAATTTAACCGTGCTACTTAAGACTGGTTTTGTGGTCCAGGGTCATATGTATATATATTTTAATACAGATTAAATTCAGTCAAGCTAAAAACGTCCATTAAGGTTTGATGCAATGCCATTGTACTTAATGATCACAAGACGATTACAATAAAAAAGAGAAGCGGGTGCCACAATATTTATTACTCTCTCTCTCTATTCCAATAAAGAACAGATGCCTGTGCAAATAACTGGGATCATGTCATTGATTCACAGGTCAGTCTTCTGGTAAAGCATACCCTCTTAATGTAATTGGTGTTTTCAGGCCATTCAAATGATCCGAGTATTAGCAAACTCATTAAATCTAAATCCCAAATCCTGTGATAGAGTCAAACGAGGAGACCAGTTTGGACCATGAATGTGTGTATATTCACAAATTTGTTTGTGTTGCACTTCATTTAGACCTGAAGCCTATGCTTAAACTGCTCATCAACTATTTAAGATGTAAGATAAAATACTGTACCAAACAGATCAAAATCTACAAAGCCATTTTTATAGACAAGCAAATGAAGATACATATTATCATACGACAATATGTTATAATCATATTATTGAATCAAATGATCATCAAACTCTTTTTTTTTTTGTAGTCAATATGTGCCATAGAAATGTATAATCAATAAACCTACCATGAAGAATGTTCACTGAAGTTTGACAACTACACCTTGTCTGTACTATGGATATGTATTAATTTAAGATAAAATGGCGTGCAATTTATTAACACTAAAATGCATTATGTTTGTTATAATGTTTAAAGTCCTAGCAAAAATGTACTTAATCCCTTTTCAAAATGTTCAAGGGTTTTTTACCAAATCCACTTTGAATTATACAAGCAGTTCTGCTTCCACAAGAGGGCGCTGATGCTTCACTCCACCTGCCTCATAATTCATAACTTTCCCTAAAACTCCATGTGCACGTACTCCACAAACACCTTTCAATGTCTCCTCCTCTCCAGGATGCTTAAATCCCTGAATCCCACCAACTCACCAGCAAACTCCTACCCCTGCTGTTAAAGAGCTCACCAATAAACCCTCAGCTCAGTCCACGCGCGAGAAGAGGCTCAGTGGCGCTCCGCGTTTCATCACATTATCATACAGAGCAACTGTGCCTTCAACACACTGCTGAGCAGCAACGACTCAAACGTTTTATTTCAGCATAAGCTAATCTTATTTCTACCTACTTACCTTTTTATCGATTCTCAATTTAACCTCTTTAAATTTCTGCTCTCTAAGCCACTTACTGTTTGCACTCTCATTAGACACTTACTGTTGACGGATGACTGCGAGGAACTGCTAATATAAAACAGTTGTGGTTAGGTCCGAAATGGATTTACAAACGCTAAATGATACATTTGGGATTTGGGCATGCCTTCAGCTTCAGAACAGCTCGGTGCTGAACGGGACCTTAAACGGGAGTCTGGAGATTCCCAACGGCACCTGCGGAGACGCGCTTTTGCTGCCCAAGACAGAACCGGCGCGACCCAAAGGTGAGAATCTCCCGACACACATTCAGCACCAGAAAGCTGTTCTCTCTCGTTCGTTCAAGACACTCGTTCTCCTTCACTCTGAGGTACCAAAGCTTGTCATGACCATGTTTTGACATTATGGAGAGGTTGCAGCACCCTCCAGCTTGAAGTAAAATCAAGAAGATGTTTGGGGGTGTTATAAGTAGCTATATACAAATTTTCAGTAAACATAAAAGCATGTTTTAGTGAAAGCGCACTAGATAGAAGCGAGCTCTTGAATAGAAGCGTTCGCCTGAGGAGGTAACCATAATGAGAGGAGGTAGACTCCTCTGCGCCTTCCGTACGGTTCATTAAAAAATATATAGGCTATATCAGTTATCACTTTATGATATATTTATGCATCAAGTATATCAAAAAAAGTTTTGTTTAAAAGTCTAGTAGATACTCGACGTTTGCGCTTTAGGAACGCCAAATACAATTCGGTTGCGCAAGACAAACCAAAGAGATTGCTTCCAGAAAATTAGGTTACTGAAAGAAATGTCCTCAAATTTTCGAAGTCACTGAATATTTCGCATACTGGACATAAATGGCATACCATAGTAATGCCGTGTTTTTGTCCTGTATCATTGCAATACTTACCTTTGAGAGTAAGATTAATCATTCAGCATGCATTTATATATCAAATTACCAGAGTATTGCCATAATACTGTAATGCTGTAATACTGCCATAATAGTATAATACATAATACTGTATGGGGTGTAAGGGAAAGGACAATGCTTGTTATATCTTGTAAAATTGTAAATTAATTTCTGCCAGCATCGCTACAGCTTGATTTGTCACTGCAGGGGTAATTCCGATGTGATTATAATCTTTTACGGTTTATTAAGTTTTTGACGCCTCTGTTCCCGGTCAGCCCAAGAGAGATGCTACAACACAAGGATAATGCAGTACGTCTGTATGTGGAAACCTGATGTAGTCTAGCTATTTAATTAGACACATGTGAACAACATTTATATTTGAATGAAGGGTCTATGAAGAGTTGTTAGTGTATTAGTTTCATGTAAACATTTTTACATGGCTGCTGTAGATAGTCACATGACCAGAACTTTTAAATTACAATCTCGGCCATGCTCTATATAACATGCCATATTTGTGACACATATTTAGGTTTGACTATGTCCCATCTCATATAATTCATACAATAGAATAAATACATGCAAACACATCAGTGGTCACATTCATGACCATTGGGGAAACACAGAGCCCCATTTTGAACAAATGTCAATTAAAATTATAAAAGTTGTAGATTTAAAATTATATTAAAAGAGACAAAGTAAAAGTTAAATAAAACATGCATTTTATAGTTTTATAAAATATTTATAGCATTGATAGTAAAATAAGTAAATACATACATACATATACATAATGTTACTTCATTTTACACAACATTCTATTGGGTCTTTGTGAGCAACTGAGACATTTTTTTACTTTGTAGTTTCCAACTGTTTCCAAATGAGGAATATAAAACACTTTCAGTAACCCTTATAAAGGCATGCAGTTGTTTCATTAGGCTATCCAAAGAGTATAATACATGTGCTCACACTGATGAGAAAAAAAAAAGATTAAATGAGTTAATTTATTTCACAAATCTAAATGAAGCCAGCGGTGTCTATTCAAGAAACAGAGTCTGCAGTCTTTCCACTGATATTAGAATCACTGCCAAAGTAAGTGAATAATTCAGCAGACCTCACTGCATCACCCCTCTGGGCATTATGACATGAGGGGCTGTTTTATGACATGGAGAGATTATTTATCTTGTGCAAATGAAGTGATGAAGTGCAAATTCTACATATCCACATTAAATGTTAACTGTAAAACATAAAACTGTAAATTATAGTATAAAATATTCCAAAGTATTAAAGAGAGGAAAACCAATATTAGCAATAATACTTTGCTGGGAAGAAAGCAGATGTTATTAGACAGATATTACTTAGACAAATTGTCCTTATATTAGATTAGTGATGGACATTACATGTCAGGCTCCAACTGCCACTTGCAACATATCAAGCCATAACCACAGGGTCACCAAGGCTTCATGCTGTTGTGCGCTTTAACAGGATTGTAAACTTCATGGTTCTGACTGGATTTTAAAAAATCTAAATCTGAATATTTTTTGACGAACTTCACAATAAATAATTTTATTAAAATAGCACATGCAGAAGAAAACAAAACAACAGTAATTAGATGTGACTTAAAAAATGACAAAAAAAGCAAAAAATAAATAATGAAAACAAGTCATTGTTCATTTCTATAAAAATGCTTTGTTAGATAACATAAATTCTGAAAATGTGCTTTCAACATCTAAATGAACTGGTTTTATTTATTATGAAATATTCACTAAAATCAACCTGACTTCTTCATTAGGTTACCCCAATAAACGTCATTTTAAAAAGTCAGCTGAAGTTGAAACAGCTCTTTGATACACACTACTACACATGTTCACATTTTACAGCAAAAACAAGTGATTTCTCCTCTTTCTCTCTGGGTGCTTTGATGAAAGCATTCAGCATACCTCCGGGTGCAGGCTAAATTTAGTGCATTGCCACTGAGGAGCCTAATCAGAGACTGCTCGACAATGCACATATTTGCTGTCCATTTCCTCCATCAGCAGAGGCTGTTGGGCTCTCTGTTCTTGTGTTCAGTATAAACCCTGATCATCAAACACACGTCTGTCATTATCGCCATTACACAGTGCTCCAACAGTGCTCTTCAAATCCACAGATTCTGGAGTTTTAGCACACACTGCACACTCATTCATTCTTCTTTATGATGACACCAGGCATGCTTCAGGCAATCAGTCATTTCAGTGATTTTCTGTAAATCTAAGGAAATCTATTCATTGTACTTGGCATCACAATGATTTCCATTGTGAATAGATCAATTAAGGATATTTGTTTTGTATAAGCTTATTTCCACCATGGAAATAAATAAATAAATAAATAAAAATAAAAATGATTACTGTGACTTTTTATCTCACAATTCTGACTTCTCTTTTCCAGTTGCAAATTTATATCTCACAATTGGAACTTTTTTTCTCATAATTGTGAGTTTATATCTCACAAATGTGATTTAACATCTCACAATTATGACGTTTTGTTTTTTTTTCTGGAGAATTGCGAGTTTATATCCCACAATTCAGACTTCTCAGAATTTTGACTTTTTCTCTCACAATTCTGTCTTTTCTTTTTGCAATTGCAAGTTTATAGCCTCAGAATTTTTTCTTAGAATTGTGAGTTTATATCTCATAATTATGAGTTAACTTATCACAATTTTTTATTTCTGAATTGCGAGTCTGTTTCACAATTCTGATTTCACTTTTGAAAGGGAACTCTACGCTGCGTCCCCTAGGGGCTGCTATGAGGAACGCCTTCAGCGTGACCAATGTCTGAAGCATGAATGCAAAAACGACAATGAAATTGGCAAGTGGCAGCCTATGACGTCACTACTGGTACGACTGCAAGAATAAAAAGGCACCTGTGGAACACGTCATCCTCTTCTTTTTCTTCAGCCGTTCTGAAGTGTGTAAGGTAACAAAGCGATGTCTGTTAAATGTTTTAGGAAGTTTGCGGATCCGTGTCAACGCTATCTGTCACCTGACGATGCACACGACCTTTGTGTTTTTTTTTTGTTTTTGCGAGGAGCACGCATGCTCTGTTCTCGAGGGAACAGAGTGCATTCATTGAGTGTTTCTCATTGAGGAAACTCCACTCTCATTTGTCCTTTTTCTCGGGGGAATTGGGACAAACATCTGCTCCCTGCAGTTCGGGTCCTGCCGCTGCCGAGGTAGCAAGGAGACTAAAATCATGGGGTTCTCAGATGGAGCTTGCTGATGAGTTTGACAGAGGTGTGAATCTCTCGTATTCGTCAGCGGCTGACGAGAGTAACCTACTAGATGAGGATGTGGTGTCCCTCACATTCTCTGATCCTGCAGGAAGTGTTCTGCTGCCTTCCAGCCAGGGTGAGCAGGATGTGGCTGGTGAGGGCGAAGAAGATAATTCTGAGGCTTCTCAGCCTGCCTGCCCTGACTATGATGAACTGCAGGAAGTTATGGATCGCGCTACTGCGAGATATCTCTCGGCTGGGGTGAAATCAACACTGAAGGCTCTAGCCCTGTTATCCAAACCACTTCAGAGTACATCACTTTTGAATGATAGGGCATATGTGGCAGCAGGTCAGGCTGGTGCTGCCTTGCACAGAATGGCAGTGTTGCAAGCGTACCAGGCAGATCTGCTGAAAGACTTGGACTAGGGTCAGGATATCTCCCATGAGGCAGTGGATGAGTTGCGCCGCACCGCAGATCTGGCTCTCAGGGTCACCAAGCAAATTGCTACCGCAATCAGCAGATAAATGGTAGCAATGGTGGCCACTGAGAGACATCTGTGGGTGAACATGGCGGACATCGGGGAGAAAGAAAAGCGCTTCCTTCTCGATGCCCCGGTTTCGCCTTCGGAACTATTCGACACATCCATTGAGATGGTGGTCAATAAATTCAAGGAGGCGAAAGCATGCTCAGCGACTTACAAGTCGTTCATTCCATGCCGGTCCTTGTCAATGCTCAAACACGAGGGGGGACCTGGCCCGTCTTGGTCTGAGGGTCGAAGACAGGGGCAGGTAAAAAGCATCGCCACTCGTGGCCCTCCTCGGAGGAGGAGTAGGTCACAGAGGAGGCACGAGTCAAGAAGAAAGAAAAAGGATTTAAGGGAAGTGATCCAGCACAGACACAGTCAGCAGTCTGTGGTTTGGACGGATAATTAACATCTACTCCTTCCTTCCCTTTTTTTCTTTTTTTTTCACTAGAGGAGAATAACAGCTCTCCTTTTTCACCTCAACTAATTATCTCTAGCGTTGAGTGTAGTAGCCAGGTCTCCCCTCACTTAGAGGGTCGTTATGCTGAGACCTCCACTCGTAGAGCTCCGTTATTTTTGGTGAGTGGTGTCAGGCTACCTCTCGTTAAGAGACT